CCTCACAAAAAAATAAAATAAAATAAATAAATAAATAAAAATAAAAAGTAATAAGTAGTTCTTGGACCCTTTTTTGAGCATTTTTAAAATATAAATTTTTCTTTGAGTATATTTTTAGCTTGTGCACCTGAAAAAATAACTGACACATGCTATATGATCTACTAGTGATAGTGTTGATAAGTTATGAAATAACTGGCAGATATTCTTCTTAATTTACTAGATGTTTTCTAGCCTCTCTAGCATCTACCTACAGCTTGCTGACTCTCAAAACCTTATGCAGTATAATAACACTAGTAACACTGGGTACGTTAAAATTATTCATCCAAAAGACCACATCATCAATAAATGCTGTGTTTTGAGGGACAACTTTCCCCACCGCAGCATACTGAAAGGGTCACTGATACCACCCCAGTAATTCAAGCAGAATTCTTTATAACCAAAGATATGCACATACTAAAAGGGTGCTTTAGGTCTGAGAAAAGTTTGCAGCTCTGTTCTCTAGCCTGTATGGGGTCTTGGGCTGAACTGTCATTAGCAAAACTTATTCCAGCAAATTAAGTGATGGAGACTAAAGAAAGTACCGAAGCAAGAAGATCCCAGGGAACCATCTAGCCTGGAATGAAGAAATACACTTGAAAGCACTTGACTTTTACTTGTGTGTATTTGAATGAAAAAGTTCAAAGAATTTTACATAAAATGTGTAAATGTAATTTATAATATCTTTATGAGTTTTAATGTAAGTTAGTAGAGAACAAAGAGCAAATCATGTTCATCTTATATTGCCAAGAGAAAAGTGAGACATGGGGACAATTTTTGTCTATGCTCAGAATAGCAGAGAACTTTTTTCCATAATAATCCAGTAATTTACCTCAATTAATGAAACAATTTATACTATATATGAGTTTATACCCCCCCTCATACACACACACATATAAGCTTACTCTTTCTTTTCTTCCAACATTTATATTTTACAAAATATTGTTATTGATTTCAGGACTATGTAGGTCGCTAATATTTCTCCAAGTTTCTTACTGCTCCTTGTTGTAAGAGGAGCTCCTTGTTGTACTGTTTCTTGAGTTCATAATTCATGTGTTTGACTGGCACACATTTACCTCAGAAAACCCTGTCTTGAACTTTTCTTTTTTTACCCAATAGAATCTTTTGGTACAGTGTCATAGCTGCGAAGTGGAATTTTACTCTCGAATTTCATAGGAAGTAGTCCAACGGTACAATGAAAGATTATGCAAATCCTCAAGGAGCATCCAATCAATCACCGTGGTGTGAGAGGAATGCAGCCGATCGCTGAATTGGCTTCTGTTGGAATGTATTCATGTGTAACATCTCACTGACTGGATGACATCACAACAGCTCTAGGTCCTTGAAAGTCTTGAGGATGATTAGCTGAAGGAATTGGCTGTTTCTGCCAATCATCACCCGGCAGAGCTGCCTTTATGATTCTGGAGATGTGAGAGAAAGAGAGAGGGAGGGAAAGAGCGACTACAGCTAACCAGGAAGCACGGAAGCGGTAGCAGCGGCAGAGCAGGAGCAGCTGGTGTGCCGGTGATTAAAGAGTTCTCATAGCCTTTTTGCTGTGCTCGGTCCGCTCCCTGGTGTAATTCTCGTGTCCAAGAAGGAAGCTGCATTTTAACGGTGTGCTGAACAGAGGTTTGAATCATTCCAGCTGGCTGCTTGTTTTGAAAAGGACGATGTGTGTATAAATAAAGAGAGACTCTGCTGGAAGAGTTCAGATGCTAGGACTGGAGCTAAAGAGTGCTCTCGGAATATTGTTGAGGCAGATTGTGTGAACTGAAAGCTCCTTCTAATTAACCTGGAGCCAAGTGAATCTGAATACTGGATGTCTCATTCTCTAACTCGGAATAAATTCAAGTTAGGAAAAGAAAAAAAAATTGAAATGCTTCTCTAGGTAAGTTATTGCTTAATTTGCTGAAACTGAGGTGTGTACAATAAATGAATATATGTTGCTTAGCTATGTAAACAAGTTGAACACAATAAAGTTTTATTTGTGAAAGATTTATGTAGAAGAAGATAATAGTTTTAAACCAAATTCAATCTCCCTTTTCAGCATGTGTGTGCTTACCTGACATTACGCTTTGTAGAAGTTATATTTGCACTATAAATGGAAAATACAGTCCTGCCTAAAAAAGAGATAGCACTTGAAATATTTTAAACTGTTGCCAGAACATTTGCACAATAAACACCTCACTTGATAACAATTTTAGTCTTTTCCTATTGAAAATGCCAATTTTACAGATTCAGCATCCAAACTATGGGGTTATAAATGTTTCCCTGGAAGTGTTACTGATAACATGGCATTCAAATTACTCAAGATGGGAACTCCTCTCTTTGGGACCTGAGATTTATAGGCGTGCTCTGTTCTAATGGTCTGCTTTAGAGAACCTGCTGTCACAGACATTTGAAATTGTACAATAGTCATAAACTGCTTTTAAAGAAATAGATGCTTTCCTACTAGCTCCTATTAGGAAAGAAAAATAAATTCTTAGAACAACATGTGTCATATGCCATAAGCGTACATTCCCAGGAGGACAAATTCAGCTTTATGCTGTACTTGTAAATACCTCCAAATTCCTCGTGCACAGAATAAGTTGGAAAATAAGAAACATTATTTAAATATGGTTTTACTCATCCGTTCCAATATCTCCATTGGAGAAAGCTAAATAAAAAGGAAACCTTAAACCTATATGCTCCTTGTGATTTGTCCTGGTTAACAAAATACTGTATTTTTCAGAGTTATAATCATAGTATTTTCAAGTGATGATATATTTTGTTCATTATGATAGGTTATACTATGAGTTCTAATGTAGCTTTGAAAAAGTTTCAGTAGTTTATACTTTATCATGTCTTTTTCAAATACACCTTTTCTTGCTTTCATGGTATCTTCTATCAGGATATTTTTCATCAACTCTAGACCATAAATGTTTTCAATTACATACAAAGATATTGATGTGTTTTCCTAATGATTTTAGTTATTCACTGTCTCACCAACTTTATGGTTCAAATCCTGTGAGTTTCTTGTCACAAGAGAAAATGGATGAAGAAAAAAGTTACTGTAATTGATTAAATTTCCCCAAAACTAGGAGGCAGTGATTTTTCCACACAAAGATTTTAAAATGTGGTATTTTTTCATATAAATAGAATACTTTTAATTTCTTCTATTAAAAACATTCCACTTAGCTATATCCAGATGCCAAGTAGGTTGTGTTGATCACAGTTTTTTCGTGAAACAAATGTGTGTAGAGACTATAAAGTCCACTGACTAAAAGTTTGTCTTCAATTGGAATTCATGAAAAAAAATAAGTGATTAATAAGCAAAATATATTTGCCATTTACATTTATCTCAATACAAAAATGGAAATTTAACACCTGCTATGATTGTGGACATTTTTATAATAAGGAATGCTGTGAATATTTACCTTTGATGATGAATATCACACAGCACTTAAATTGATAGAAATCTCATGATAAGCTAATAGGGAAGATTTTTGGAAATTGAGCACTAAGAAGAATAGTCTTTTTCTTACTCTATCTTAATGGCAATTGGTCGTTGCTAAGATTGATGCTTAGAAAATCCTTTGAAAAAATTATGATGTGTATGACTTATTGACATGAAAACCACCCATAGAGGGAAATATAGATGCAATTTAGAAACTCAGGCATTATTCTTAAATAAAAAAAGTAAAAGCTTCATGAGGATTTTAATATTTATTTTCCCTTCAGTAAACTTGGAAACAGATATAAAATGCATTTTGATTTCTGCCAGCTGAAGTTATTATCTAAGAAATGTGTCCATTTAAATGATTTCCTTAAATATCAAAAAGAAGTAAATGGAGACTGTTTTATATAAAATTATAATTTGAAATTTCTATAGTTCATAACCAAAATAGAAATATGTGCTCATGTATATGTTTACTTCAGAAAAGGACAATCTTTTATATTTTATCTGAGTATTAAAACTATTACATCTGTTCTTTCTTCCCCCAAAAAATCATTTTGTAATTGGATTTCAAATAAACTTAGTTTCTTAATTCAATCTCAATGCTAACATTACGTCTTAAAAGTGCTAAATAAATGTTTCTAACCCAGTAAAGTATTTGTCCCCAGAAGGTCTAATGTTTATATCATCCCCTTCCACGTTCTGTTTGAGTGGGAAAGGTGCCATTGAGCAGAAAATCCAAAGATGAAACTCTGTGTGCTTCACATGGTAGCAACTACTCTGAGAGAAGAACAGAGAAGCGTTTAGCATGCTGTGTTCAAACTAGAAGATTCTAGCTGGTGGAAACTTCCAGATTTGGAAAGCAGCTGGAGAAACTTATAAAATAAAGCTGGAATATCAGCTCTGGCTGAAAGCCAAGACAAAGAAGCTGTGCACCCAGAAGGCTAATTCTTTCTGGGCTGAAATTCACTGATAATGTATTATGTTTAAAATCTAACCTCAGTGTTACTTTTTTCTGTAGTACAAACTGCGGGATATTTAAAGAACAAATTTATTTTCTGAGTAGAGTAACATTTTCAAATAACAAATTTTTGTTCTTTATTAAAGATTGTTCTAATGGAAAAAGTAAATAAACCTAGCAGAAACTCCTATAAAATACAGCTTATACTCAAGACCAGAAAGGGAAATAAAGATGAGATGTATCGTCTAACCATTATCTTGGAGATGGCAGAGCAATCAGAAGTGCCACATATGGATACATGCCCAAAGGAAGAAGTGTGAAGGTTTTATGAAAGCAACTGGCCTAGTAAAATTTACAATAGACATAGACATACTAATACTGTTGTAGTGTATATATTGTGAAGCTAGACAACACAAGAGAAGTCCTCATCCATTAGGTACTCCAAATAACTAGGAAAAAGAGAAACCATGTCATCTGTTGATTTATTTTAGGTTTATGAACTGAGAGAAATGGGTCAGGTGCCAGACACAATGCTACTGCCTTTAGCCATCATGGAGTAACATTTAGCCAATCTTTTCTTTAACACTTCAGGAAACTTTCAGCTATGCTGATACAGAGAGTGACAAATGCACTCCTTTTTTAGTTACTTTCAGCAAGCTTCAGAAGTTCGAGGTGTCAATTGCAATGCAGAACTTTTGTAAATACAGTCCTATTTCCAAGTTTTCTTTATCTCAGTTTTCTAAGGAATGCTGTCACATTCTGGAGTTGACAAATCTAAAATTTCTTTTAGAAAAACATTGACTTGATAACAGATTTTCCCAAAACCCCAACTAGTCTGATAATGAAATCCAACACATCAATGGCTTTGGGCATTTCAAGACAAATAGATTTTTTTTTAATGTGAATGGTAACTTATTCTCCATTCCTACTGGTGAAAATGTTTACTGATGTAACTTGATGTGTTTATTTCATTTGCATTCTTATAAATTGCCTATATTCCTATTGCCTATATCCTATAGTTTCTGTGTAATTCAGGCCGTGAAATAGATTACAACACAATAACCTGCATTCAACAAACTAAATATTGGCTTTCAAATGACTCATTGGGGAAATTTGCATAGATAGACTACTTTAGAAATATTTTTTCAGGAGACAAACTTAAAATACTTCATTAATACTAAATGATAATCATGATTAATTAATTACAGTTAAGGAAACCTGAGAAGAAAATGAAGAGTTAAAAAAGACTCTGCATGCTTGAGAACCTAATCTGGTAATGTACTCAGGATATTTGAGAAAACAAAACTGATGACTGTATTAAGTTGTAGAATTGAGACTTCTTTGCCAAACTCAATTTTTACACTTCTTAGAAAATGTTGTTTTAAATATTTGATGAGTTCAATAAGAAGGCAACTTTTAGCAAGCTCACACAAACACACACACACACATACACTTCTCCACCAACCCCAATTTCCCCTTTTTGGACATTCCATTATCAGAAGAACTTGTCTTGTGCTTTATTTAAAATAATTAGCCTCCTCATTAAAAGCCTTTAATAGAATTTCTCTTCCATCGTAACCTTGTGGAAGTTGCAAGTTAACTAGCCAGGTTCAGTGTGTTGAAGCAAAAAACGTAAACGTAAAGATGCTTCCTTATTCTCTCTTCACTAGCTCTTTTCCTCTTTTCTTTCTTTCTCTCTTTTTCATTCTTCTTTCTTTCCCTTCCTCTCTTTTCCCTTCCCTTTTCCTTGTTTCTTTCTCTCCATCCTCTCCTCCCTCCTCCCTCCCTCCCTTCCTTCTTCCCTTCCTTCCTTCCTTCCTTCATTCATTCATTCCTTCCTTCCCCCCTTCCCTCCTTCCATTTCTCTCTTCATTTTTGCCACCTCAGCTTAAATGCTCTCTTGCAAAGTCTAGGAGCAAACCACTCATGTTTAGTATGGCAGTGATTATTTCTCTAATGGCCAAATTTGAACACTGGAGTGGGTGGGAAAAATGCACAGGAAAAGTGGGTAAAGTTCACTAAACAATGAAAGACAAGATAGGATGGGAAATTCATGTCAGAGGTAGTGACGTCAACCTTAAAATATTGGCTGTTCTCCCACCTATGAATTCCCATTTAATTTACTAAATTCTTTAAGTAGAGTCCTTTGCTCCCTTTCCATATAAGTCCTTTTCATTGTCGGTGGAATCTTTTTCATGCAGCAGATGCAGCTTAATGGCAAAAATAAAACAATAATAAATGTAAATAATCCTTATACTGGTATTTTAAACCTCTATAAATCATTTTTATATTTAGTAGTTAAAACATAGTAGCATTGACATGTAGCCCAAGGGCTGACTGCCTTACTAATGGAGGAAAAAGAGAGAAGAGAAAGCTATTTTGCACATTAAGATGCTTTGGCTTGACTCCATTCCTGAATCAGAAATTCAGTAATAGACTGCTGATCCACAGAATTTGTCATATTTCATCAGACATCTCAAAAGAGTTCTTC